CTTGGGAGGCTGAGGCAGGAGACTCGCTTGAGCCCAGGAGTTGGAGCTGCCGTGAGCTGTGATGCCACAGCACTCTACCCAGGGTGACAGCTTGAGGCTCTGTCTCAGAAAAAAAAAAAAAAAACAAACAGCCACACTGTCCCAATGCACACTCTAGCAGGCACTGCGCTGAGTACATTTGCAACAAGGCACTGTATACTTTTCTAGCAATCCTGAAAGGGAGGGGCTTTTATTAACCCCATTTTACAGATGGATAAACAGATTCAGAGAGAAGATATCAGTTGCCTGAGGTCACACAGCTAGTGGGTGGTGATGCCAGGATTGGAACTCCTTCCTGTAGTGTTTCCCCACTGTGCTTCTGGGTCCTCCCCAAAAACAAAAGAGAGTTCTAAAGTGGAAGGGACTCCTGTTTACCTGTCAGGGCGATGGGCTTCACAAGTGTCCCCGAAGGCGGGGGGCTCCCAGGCATTGCAGTCTGCAGATCCCGGGCCACTCTGCTCCGCAGAGGGTGGGCAGGAGGCAGTCCTTCCAGCAGCTGCTCCAACGCCAGCCGCAGGAGGTCCAGTTTCTGGGAGGACTCCTGGAGCTGGGCCTGGGCCTAAAGAGGGGACTCAGGCAGGGGCAGGCCCACGGGTATGTGGGGCAGTAGTGGTCTAAGCCACCCAAAGACACCCTCCTGCGTGACATCTCTACAGAAAGTGCCTCCCACCCTGGCGGAGCCTCCTGCCAACTGCCATGAGTTGTATGGGAATAGGCAGACCCACAGAGGAGGGCAGCAGGGCCCCTGACCTCTGCCAATGCCTTGCGATCCTGTGTCCTCCGGTTACCAAGCAGCTTCACCACGTTCTTGGCACCCTCGGCCACGGCAGCCTCAATGCGCAGTCGGTGCTGCAGCTCCTCAGCCAGCAGCTCAGGCCCTGGGGGGGAGCAGGACAGCCCTCAGCCCCACCCAACCATCCCCAACACCACTGCCTTCTTTTTTTTTTTTTTGAGACAGAGCCTCAAGCTGTCACCCTGGGTAGAGTGCCATGGCTTCACTGCTCACAGCAACTTCCAACTCTTGGACTCAAGCGAGTCTCCTGTCTCAGCCTCCCAAGTAGCTGGGACCACAGGTGCCCACCACAAGGCCCGGCTATTTTTTTGCTGCAGCCATTATTGTTGTTTGGCGGGACTGGGCTGGATTCGAACCCACCACCTTAGGTGTATGTGGCTGGCGCCTTAGCCACTTGAGCCACAGGCGCCAAGCCACCACTGCCTTCTTAAGAACTCACCTGCCTCAGAGGACCCACTGGCCTCCAGGCTGCTGATCTTCATCCGCAGCAGGGCCACCTTCAGCTGGCTGTCCCGTAGCATCTCCTGGGCAGCCACCAGGAGCTTCTTCTCCTGTGGCATCATGACACAGACCCCATCAGGCCAGGTCTCAGCCACAGCCTCCCCAATCAGACCAGGGATAGAGCCTGTCTCGGGAGCCCAGATGCTGGATTCAAGTTTCTCTGACAGACCAGGTTGGGGGGTGGGGGGCGCACAGGCTTCTCCATCAGACCAACCAGAGCAAGGCCTAAACTTTCCCTATGCAATCAGGCAGCACCAATACTTCTGTCAGACAAGGACTGGGGTTCCCACATCATACTGGGAGGTGGGACTAGGGCCAGACCTTCCATACCTGACTAGGACTGGACCAGGACCCCGCTGGACCAGCAAGGTCTTCACAGTTAGTCAGGACTTAGAGCCACACCTTCCCCGCCCAGCTGTGGGTTGGGGTGCTATCTCCCCCATCAGACTGACCTACAGGGTCAACGGCTGGGCTGTACTTCCCAGTCAGGATCAGGGCAGAGCTGCACCTCCCCCAATATCTGAGGGCCAAGTCCCTCCCACCAGAGTAGGAGCCAGGGCTGTGCCTCCCCTGTCAGGCTGGGGGTGCCTCACCTTGGGGGTCCCACTGGCACACGTGTGGGTCATGTTCTCAGCCCCCTGCTTCACCTTCAGCTCCACTTGCAGCTGTCTCCGTAGAGCCTCCAGGTGCCGGGCCTTTGGCTGCTCTACCCGTGGCTGAGGTCCCAAGCCTACAGGTTCTGTAGCAGGGAGAGTGCCTATCACCTAGAGCTGAGACTCCTATGACCTAGCTCTCCCCTCCCACCCCTCCTGGGCTATCAGCCGGGGCCCCAGGAGGAGGTTTAGGGAGGTGACGAAGTCTGGGCACAGAGGTTAGGGCCTGGTTGGCCCACAGCCTCCTGCATTGAGGGGGGTCTCAGCTCCTCACCAGGCTGGCCAGGCCCAGAGCCAGGCAGCAGGATGCGGGCGTGCAGGTCCCTCAGCTCGCCTTGCAGCTGCTCCAGCCGGCGGTTAGAGGAGCGTAGCAGCTGCTGCACATGGCCCAGGTGGCGGCGATCTGTGGCCACTCGCCGCAGGTTCTCCATGCCCTCCTTGATTTTCAACTCTTTCTGGATGGCACGACGGATCGCCTCTTTCTCATCCTCTGGAGGCCACTGGCCTGGCACAGGCTGCAGAGGACAGGGAGAAGGCATGGGGTACAGCCCCACCAGCAGCCACTTCTTCCCAAGACAGAGGGGGCAGAGGTCCCACATACACAGGGCTAGAAAAGCATCTCTGTCCTTACAGCTCAGGATGCCTGAGCCAGATGGAAAGCCCAAGGCCACTCATCTCACCCCTGCTCCTGCCCTGTGCCGTTTAGAGATGGGGAAGGGGAGATCACTAGTGTTTACCTGATGCTTACTAGGCCAGGTTCTGTTCTAAGAGCTTGGCAGATGTCATCTCATCACTCCTCCCAATAATCCCACCAAGTAGGAGTTATTATGCCCACTTTATAGATGAGGAACTGAGACCCAGAGAGGTGAAGTAACTTGCCCACAACTGAGGCACAGAGAGGACACCAACTCTCAGGCCCAGCTTCTTCCTACCAGCCATGGGTAGCTAGGCTGCTCTAAGTCTGGGATGCGAAGTAAAATCTGGGAGCTAGAAAAAAGCTCAGCACCAAGAAGGGATTCACCCAATGTCACATGGAGAAGGCAGCCAGTGGCCTGTGAGGCCAGGGCTTGTTCCTGATATCCAAATGCCACAGGTGGCAAAGCAGAGTCACAGAGAGGGCCTGGGGAGGTCTTGGGTGCCTGCTCCCAGCCTGGCTCTTGGGAGGAAGTACAAGTCTCTCTCACTGCCTCACCCTAGCTGGAGCCAGGAAGAAGAAAACCTTCCCAGAGGCCAACATTTCAAACCAACCTACTGCCAACAAGGACCTCAGGCCAAGGTGGCCCATGACTCCCCTTCCAACACAGACTCTTACAGGGACCCCACCTTACCTCTCTGTGTTCCATCTCCTGAGCCTACTGGAAGTGACCCCAGCCTCAGGGACCCCCCACCTCAGTCCCAGGCTGGGTCTGATGGCTGAACTGTCAGAAGGCAAGGGCGAGGCTCAGGAAATCCTTTGGCGGCCCTAGGCAAGAGGGCCAAAGCCAAAGGTCTGAGTAGACAAAGATCCCATGGAGCTGGAGGCCCGGCCACCGGGGTCCTGAGTCACCCAGCCACCCGCCACAGGGTGGAGGCTTGCAGGAAATCGGAAAATGTGTACAAGCCACGGCTGGAACAGGCGGAGGGACCTCCGGAGGAAGGGGATGGGAGGGGGTAGACCCAGCCTGTGGCTGCTTAAGCAACTGGGAGGGACACTCAAGGAGTCTCTGTCTACTACACCTCACCCCCCAACACACCCCATGGACCTAGAGCAGAAATCTAGGCTGGAATGACGACACACCTCCTCTCTGCTCAGCTGGGACCCTTATATGGGACACAAGTGTCCCCGCTCACTCCCACTCGCTCGGGGCCAGGACACCATCTTTCTCCTCATAACAGACAGACAGACACACACACACACAGACTTGGCCCTCAGGGCCCGCGCACACCTACTCTGGGCAGGAACCCTCCGACCCCCTCCGAATTCTGAAACACTCTGTACCCTAGGGTTCCAGCCCCAGCGCTGGCTAGGCCCCTCCCCCGCGCCTCGTGGACTTTGGGAGAGACCCCCACCCGGGTATGCACACGCGTCCCTCTCCCCGGGCCCCCTTTGCTTGCCCGCTAATTCCCGTCGGCCTTGGAGTCCCACTAGGAAGAGCCGATTTTAGGGAACTCTGGGGCCCGCCCCGCGGAGTCAAATGTGCTGCAGGCTGGTCGGACTCGAGGCTCCGAGTCCCCTGGAGGAGGACCTGGAGTCGATCCCAGGGCCCATGACTGACCTAACCCAGTGCTCAGGTCTGCCCTGCGAAGGTGTCGCGGGAGCGGGGCGGGGGCTGGGAAGGGTCTGGGAGGGTTTGGGGACTCGGCGAAGGAACCTTCCCGCCCCCCGGCCCCGCGTAGCCCAGCCATCCCGGCGATGTTCACCTGCCGCGGCGCCCCTTCCTCCATAGCGCCGCGCCGGCCCCTCCTCTCGACCACTCCGGTTCCGGAAGCCCGCGCCCCTTCGCCAGGACTTTCAAACTTGAAACTTCCCGGGAAGCGACGCTGGAGACCCGGGATCGGGCGCCCCCTTTCGAGACCCGCGTGCCCTCCGGGGACCTGAGCCCAGCGCCGCCTCTCGGCCGCAACAGATCAACGCCGCAGCGCCCACTCCTGGGGTCCGTAGGCCCACAGTCTACGCCGATCCAAACTTCCGCGGGATTCTGGGCACGGTACCCGGTCTTCTGCCGCCAGTTCCCGCTCAGCGTGACACTAGCCTCTGCCCCCGGGGCGGGAGCGCAGGAGGGGTACCCCTAGGCGCAAGTCCTCTAGCATTGCCCCTCCGCGCTCTCAGAGGAGCTGGTCCGGGTGGGGACAGCGCCCTCTGCCGGTTGTGGGGCCCTAGGTCACCCAGTTGGGGCGCAGCCTGTGTAGCGGGTCCCCTCTTGCCTAGGGCTGACCTTATCCCGCCCGGTCACGATCCAGCCGCCGCCCCTAACGCGTTAGGCCTCCTCGCCCAAGTTCTTCAAATCTCTCTTGGTCTCAGATGTCGTGGGTGTAAAATGGGCCAATTCCAAACTGTCATGCTTTCGGAGTGGTTGCCCCTATGTAAATAGTATTCACAAGAACGCTCATGGCAATGGGGGGGAGTAAAGGCTCATCTAAATTATGGCAAATTACAAATTGTGGAAGAATAAACCAAACGTCTCTCAAGCCCATCATTTAATTGGACTGAGCTTAGTACTTAGCCAGAGCCACCATTGCACCTTTGCGCTAAAAAAGCCCTTCTAAACAGAAGAAAAGACATTGACACTTTGTGAAATAGCCATTATCTCAGGAAAATGATAACTGGCCCACATGAGGTGTGCTGGTAATGGCTTGCGTGCCTGGGCGATTCTGGTTCTTTACTGCCGAGTTTATGGTGGGTCATTTTAGCCACTTTCTGGGACCCTGTGCTTACCAGCACTTTGTACCTGTACTACACTGGAAGAAGCCTCCTTTTAGGGGTCAGAAAATGATGAAAGGTCAAAATTTTTTTTGAGACAGAGCCTCAAGCTGTTGCCCTGGGTAAGTGCCATGGCATCACAGCTCACAGCAACCTCCAACTCCTGGGCTCAAGCGGGTCTCCTGCCTCAGCCTCCCAAGTAGCTGGGACCACAGGCGCTCGCTACAATGCCAGGCTATGTTTTTGGTTGCAGCCGTCATTGTTGTTTTGGCGGCCAGGCTAGATTCAAACCCACCACCTTAGGTGTATGTGGCTAGCGCCTTAGCCACATGAGCCACAGGCACCGAGCCTGAAAGGCCCAATATTGACCCTGACTTGGAACAGACACCCTTCAATACTCTTACTAGAGGAAGCCACACATTTTAGTTTACATTGATCTCCTCACTCAGGATGGACTGGAAAAAAATGAAAATTGGTCAGCCATAGACAATGCTGGGTCCCATAATGGGAAATCAACCAAGTGGCATCAGCTTAACCAGAGGCAACTTGGTTCTTTCTGTGAGACATGCTCATATTTCATAATCAAAGGCAAATGTGAGAAGCTCACACATCCTAGCTGTTGAGGGCTCGACGTTAACACAAGCACCTAGCACAGAATAGGCTATTTATTTATTGAGACAGAGACTCACTCAGTTGCCCTTAGTAGAGTGCTATGGTGTCATCAGAGCTCACAGCAACCTCAAACTCCTAGGCTCAAGAGAAGCTCCTTGCCTCAGTCTCCCCAGTAGCTGGGGCTACAGGTGCCTGCCACAATGCCCACTTATGTTTTTTTTTTTCTATTTTTAGTAAAGATGAGGTCTCACTCTTGCTTACTGGATTTGAACTCCTGAGCACAAGCAATCCACTCTTCAGCTTCCCAGAGTGCTAGGATTAAAGGGGTGAGCCATTACCCCCAGCCTATAGTAAGCTCTTTAAAATAAGGTTTATCGGCTTGGCACCTGTGGCTCAAGCGGCTAAGGCACCAACCACATACAACTGAGCTGGCAGGTTCGAATCCAGCCCCGCCGGCCAAACAACAATGACGGCTATAACCAAAAAATAGCCTGGCGTTGTGGTAGGAGCCTGTAGTCCCAGCTAATTGGGAAGCGGAGGCAGGAGAATCACTTGAGCCCAGGAGTTGGAGGTTGCTGTGAGCTGTAATGTGACAGCAATCTACCCAGGGTGACAGCTTGAGGCTTTGTCTCAAAAAAATAAAATGAGGTTTATCAAGCTGCTTGAGATGAAAGTTATTATCCATCATTTGTAAGTAAAAAGGCATCAGTGTCTTACCACAACTCATCAAAAGTTCACTAATCCTTGTCCATTTTTAGGAATTCTGCAGTGGTGCCATGAGTCCAGCCAGCTAATTAACACTTAAAAAATATGTACTTGATTTGATGAGTAAATGTTACTTCTAGAAGCCAAATGGGTAATCTGATCCAACAGTCTTCCATAGGAGAGGAGTGTTTACTTCTCATCTCCAGGTCCATTTAGCTGGGAAGCTGAATTAGAAGGTTTACCAAGTTATTTGTTTTAAGTTTTGGTTTTTTTTTTTTAGAGACAGAGTCCCACTTTGTCATCCTTGGTAGAGTGCTGTGGTGTCACAGCTCATAGCAACCTCCAGCTCTTAGGCTTAGGTGATTCTCTTGCCTCAGCCTCATGAGTAGCTGGGACTACAGGCACCCACCACAATGCTCAGCTATTTTTTGTTGCAGTTTGGCAGGGGTCATGTTTGAACCTGCCACCCTCAGTATATGGGGCCAGCGCCCTACTCACTGAGCCACAGGTGTTGCCCAATTTCCCAACTTTGCAGAGCAGTGTTTTACTGTCTTACACTGAAGGATAGGAGTTTAATGGTAGCAAAATACATCTAATGCACCCAGGTTGGGCAAACCAAAGGAGAAGCAGAGTCCTGGGCTGAGAGATGAGTCTGATCAGATACCTGTATCTTACATCTGATGGTGATGATACTCCATGAGATCAGAATTCTTAGGAAAATCTAAGTTCATGTTCAACATCCAATGGATAGTGAGTATTTCAAACCAACTCTCCAGCTAGTTGGCCTTTAAGACTGTAAAAAGTGGCTCGGTGCCTGTGGCTCAAGTGGCTAAAGCGCCAGCCACATACACCTAAGGTGGCAGGTTCTAATCCAACCCAGGCCCACCAAAATAACAATGACAGCTGCAACCAAAAAAATAAAAAATAAAAATAAAAATAGCCGGACATTGTGGCAGGTGCCTGTGGTCCCAGCTACTTGGGAGACTGAGGTAGGAGACTTGCTTGAGCCCAGGAGTTGGAGGTTGCTGTCAGCTGTGATGCCACAGTACTCTACCTGCTCTGTCTCAAAAAATAAAATAAAATAAAGACTGTAAAAAGTTAGGGCTGGGTGTGGTAGCTCACACCTGTAACCCTAGCCCTCTGGGAGGCCGAGGTGGGTAGATTGCCTGAGCTCACAGGTTCTAGACTAGCCTGAGGCAGAGCGAGACCTTGTCTCTAAAAAACACCCAGTCGTTGTGGCTGGTGCCTGTAGTCCCAGCCACTTGGGAGGCTGAGGCGCAAGAGAATTGCTTAAGCCCAAGAGTTTGAGGTTGCTGTGAGCTGTGATGCTACAGCATTCTGCTGAGGGCAACATAGTGAGACTCTGTCTCAAAAAAAAAGAAATATCATTTTTAAATAACCGAAATAGCTATTCACTCATCTCTAAAAGTTTTTTTTTTTTTTAGAGACAGAGTCTAACTTTATTGCCCTCGTTAGAGTGCTGTACCATCACATCTCACAGCAACCTCCAACTCCTGGGCTTAAGCGATTCTCTTGCCTCAGCCTCCTGAGCAGCTGGGATTATAGGCGCCTGCCAGAACACCCAGATATTTTTTCTGTTGTTGCAGGTTGGCCAGGGCCAGGTTCAACCCACCACCCTTGGTATATGGGGACACTGCCCTCTGAATTTGTCAGGTATTGGGCGGTACCTGTGGCTCAGTGGGTAGGGGGCTAGCCCCATATACCAAGGGTGGCAGGTTCAAACCCAGCCCCTGCCAAACTGCAACAACAACAACAACAAAAAAAACAGTTGGACGTTGTGGCTGGCGCCTATAATGTAAGTCCTAGCTACTCAGGAGGCTGAGGCAAGAGAATCGCCTAAGCCCAGGAGTTTGAGGTTGCTACGAGCTGTGTGACACCATGGCACTCTACTGAGGGTGGCAAAGTGAGACTATGTTTCTACAAAAAAAATAAATAAAAAATAAAATCTCTTGGCTTGGCGCCTGTGGCTCAAACACCAGCCACATACACCTAAGGTGGTGGGTTCAAATCCAGCCCGGGGCCACCAAACAATGCCAGCTGCAACCAAAAAATAGCTAGGCATTGTGGCAGGCACCTGTAGTCCCAGCTACTTGGGAGGCTGAGGCAAGAGACTCGCTTAAGTCCAGGAATTGGAGGTTTCTGTGAGTTGTAATGTCACAGCACTCTACCCAGGGGGACAGCTTGAGGCTCTGTCTCAAAAAAATAAAATAAATAAAATAAAATAAAATAAGATAAAATCTCTAAAACCTGTGGCCCAAAGGAGTGGGGCGCCGGCCCCATATGCTGGAGGTGGCTGGTTCAAACCCAGCCCCAGCCAAAAACTGCAAAGAAAAACAGAATTTGTCAGGTACAGTGATTGGTGGACACACGTAATCACAGCTACTCAGGAGACTGAGGCAAGAAATTGAAGACCAGTCTGGGTAGCACTGTGATGCTTTGTCTTAAAGTTTTAGGGGCTCAGTACCTGTGTTAAGTGGTTGGGGCACTGGCCACATGCTCCAGGGCACCCGGCCTGGACCTGCTAAACAACAACAACAAAAAGCCACGGCTCGGCGCCCACAGCACACTGATTACAGCCACATATATCCAGGCTGGCAGGTTCAAACCCAGCCCGGGACAGCTAAACAACAACGTCAACTATAACAACAACAAAAATAGCTGAGCGTTGTGGCAGGTGCCTGTAGTCCCAGCTACTTGGAAGGCTGAGGCCACTGAGACTGACTTGAGCCCAAGAGTTTGAGGTTTCTGTGAGCTATGACACTACAGCACTCTACTGAGGGTTACAAAGTGAGACTCTGTCTCAAAAAAAAAAAAAAAATGAAGTTTTGGCTCAGCACCCGTAGCTCAGTGAGTACGGCACCAGCTACATACACCAAGACTTGCGGGTTCAAGCCCGACCCTGGCCTGCTAAACAACAACTGCAACAACAAAAAATAGCCAAGGTGTTGTGTGGCAGGTGCCTATAGTCTCAGCTATTCAAAAGGCTGAGGGAAGAGAATGGCTTAGGGTGGCACCTGTGGCTCAACGAGTAGGGCGCCAGCCCCATATAACAGGGGTGGTGGGTTCAAGCCAAGCCCCGGCTAAAACTGCAAAAA